CCACCACCACCACCACCCTCCCCCTCCACCACTGGCGGACACTGCCGAGGCTGGAAGGTCACGTCCAAAAACTCCAGCCGCCGGAGCCCGCGGAGCATCCTGCAGCTCCGCACTATCTGCATCTTGCTGAGCGTGCAGGCCCACAGGCACAGACACTTCAGGTCCTTCAGGCGGCTGGCACACAGCAAGCCCGGCCCCACCTCCTTACCACCCAGACGCAGCTCCTCCAGTCCGAGCCATCCTGCCCCTAGACCGAGGGAGGCCATCTGTAGCTGGTAACCTTGTCGCCCAGTGATGCCTATTTCTAGAAACTTGAGTCTGGAAAGGCCCTCGACACCACAGGCGCCGTCCTTGGCGGCACAGCTCCTGAGCCCGTTAGCCGTCACGCGAAAGGTGTCACGCAGCTCCAGTCGAGTGAGCCTCTCCCATGATGTCAGACTCTGCAGATGCTGGTCTGTGAAAGAGGGCACGCTGTTAAGGACTAACCTCTCAATACCAATTCCTGATGGAGAGCCAACACCTTTTCCTTTCTGATCCCTTCTTTGCTGCTGCGCACCAACGCTGGATGTGGCTTCTGCTCCTTCTTGGGAAGCAGCAGCCGAAGTAGGAGTCTGGTTGAAAAATTCTCTGGGCAGCTCACAGCCACGCAGCTCCAGCACCTGCAAAGATGGAGGTAGGAGCTGGCAACTGGGCAGGCCTCTCAGGTCTGCATGCAGAAGATAGAGCTTACTCAGGCGAGGACACTTTGTGGACAAAGCTTTGAGCCAAGATTCAGAGAGGAAGGTGCCCCCGCGGGCAGAAAGCAGCAAACCACGCAACCGTAGGCACCTTAGTCCGCAACCCAGGTACTGACGCAGCAGGAGCCAAAGTATGCGGGATGTCACCTAACAGACATTTGGACAGTCCATGACATGTGCATGTTGTAGATGGGGGATGGGGGGTAAAAGAGAGACGGTTTCTGTCAATAGCTGCACACACACACACACACACACACACGCACAACCCATAGGTAATAGAATTTACTTCAACAGAGACTTACGGCAAGACAAGTTTATTAGTAGAACACATTTCAATTCAATTCAAAGAACTTCAACAATAAACACTGAAAGGGAAATACAGCATACAACAAGTGCGTATTAAAATGTTAGTAACAATTTTAAAAAAGGATGAATTATTGAAATAAATGGTAGATAATTAGATGTGTGAGGTGGATGATGAGGAGTGCTAAAGGTTCATTCAAGAGTGGTGGAGAACAAAGTTTTTCATAAGGATTTCTAGGTAGTCAAAGTCAAGAAAAGTCTTGTTTCTTCTGGAAGTTTGTTATGTAGAGCACAGATACTAAATGCTGGGTCTCCATGCTTAGTCAGCAGACTGGTACCAGATGAGGGTTCATACGGTAAAAGACACACTGCTGAGCCAATACAGAGCCTTAATTGTTGAGTAATGTGTTCAGTACTCTTCCTTTTTGAAAGGACTCTTTTACTGTTCAAACCATGACCATTTCAAATTAACTGGCTGCTCAGAATCCTGAAATATGTCTGTGTACAGATCATCAATTCAAGATCTAGCACAATGTTTTTTTTAACTTTGTCTCAAACACCTGGAGGAGCAAATATGTTTTTGTGAAGACCTGAGAAGGGACCTGCTGCAAATGAAGGCATAGATTAGTTATTCTAATGGACAAGAATCTATTGATTGGTCTATGTTTTTTTTTAAGGTGGTAGCATGCAGAATATGTCAAGCATTTGACGTGACTGACAAAGTTCAACCCTGAGTTCCTGATTACAGCAATATTGATGACTTTATCTTCGAGCTGGGTATTGATCGCTGGCTCTCAGCCTTTCTTCTTTATTGCCACATAAAGTGGTAAAGTTAATGCTACCGGAACAAGCGTTACTGGTACAAATGGGTTTCTTGTATTAGCACTTCGACTTATTGTACGGATGTTTGATCCGATTGTGTTTATTGTGGATGAAATAAACACAACTGAAAGAAAAGGGGTGAAGCCACATTGAAAGTAACATCCTTACCCCTTTCCATGCAGTCAGATCGACCAGTCTCCACAGTCTTTGGTCTTTGACAAGGCGTTTCCATCTCTTACACACTCTAAAAAAACACCGTAAAACACAACATTTAACTTAATCATGTGACATGAGTCCCAACAAAGGCAGAGCTGCTGCTGACTTTTGTTTCACAGGACGAATAACAGCTCAAATACAGTCAGCAAAGTTACATTCCCCTTACCTTCCGGCCCTGACGAGCTCCCGTACGCTCAAATACGACAACACGTCAATTAAAATGATTTCGGGAAAGTAGTCCAGATTACAGGCTTTGAATTCATCCATTTTGTAAACAAAACTCTTTAAACATTGGACACGGACCGATATCGCGACGCACCCGGGTTGCGCTCACATCAGCAATCCCCAGGAAACAGCAGCCCGTCGACTGTACCTAGCGACAATTCACCGATTCAAGCGCACATTCCTCTTCAGGCTCAACGCGACGCTTCGCGGCTCAACCCCGTCGTGTCTTTCTGTTAACACCGGGCACATTAATGACAGTAGTTATATAATTATATAACGTTACAATCTGAAAACGTCCCGGTGAAGCGACGTCGCCACCTAACGTCCGTCAGGCGAACAGTCCAGTGCGCTTGCGCGGTTCACCGGACAAGATGGCGACCAGCAATGGTGGAGGAATGGAAGTGGATGGGGCGGGCGAGTATTTCTCACTTATCTCGTGATTTCTGCCTGATATCTATATGAGTCGGTGTGCAGACTGGAGCCTGTGTTGTGTATCGGCGCTGTGCGGGGTCGCTAGTGGTGAATTAGTGGTGTTAAAGGCGGTCGGTAGCTTGTTGCTGACATAAGCGGGTTAACGTGTGCGGCGGTGCTGTGAAGCTGTCAACAGAAATCATCTCTGGTTGTTTGTTGGTTGTTTCAGTCCGTCTTTACCCTCTGCTCTCACACTGGAGTGAGCACCAGGAATGGAAACATAAGTCCGCCAGCACAGGGGGCTTTGAGGAGAACCCCCCGACCTGTAACAGCAGTCTGAATGAGGGCTGGTCGTGTGGATGACCGGCCTGTCTGTGTGATACTGGACGTGTTTAGAAGTGAAATAGATCTCTTTGTGCAGGATTGGGCTGATAAGTGTGTTAGAGATACATTATCCCAGCAGTAGGTCATTGAACAACTCTTAGTATAGCTGTAGATTAAGGGGAAATCATGTTTTGGTTTTAGTTTTACTGTTAGAAGAGCTGAGCTTTGAACGCACCACTGACTGCCCTCATGTCACATTATCAAATAAATGTGGCTGTAAGTTGAACCTGAGTGAAACTGGATTTTTAAAGCCCAATGTCGATATTTAAGAGTAAAAACCCTCTGATAACAATATATCTGTAATAAACTAACATCTGCCTCTATTGTTGTTATATTGGATCGTCTTCAAACACACGTTACTGAATCCCTACTGCAAACGTTTGTGGTTGTAGTTTGCAGCAATTATCTTCATTCATTTATGTAATGTTTATTATTGATCAATCAGATTAGTTTTTCCTGATAAGTCGTCTATAAAATATCAGTAAATTGTGAAAACATGCATTAAAAACCCAAAGTTTTGTTCAACCGACAATCCAAACCCTAAGTTATTCAACTTCTAAAACAGAAAGGCTGATACTTTTTTATGTCAAGCCATCCGACCCATTAATCAACTTCTCTGACTGCTGTAGTTGCTGTCGTGTTGAAGCCCCTCTTGTTTGTGTCTCTGTCTGTAGCCAGCCCCAGTGTTATGGCCTCAGGGGTCACCGGGAGCGTCTCCGTGGCCCTGCACCCTCTCGTTATCCTCAACATATCCGACCACTGGATTCGCATCCGCTCACAAGAGGGTCGACCAATGCAGGGTATGTATGTCAACACCATGCAAGAAAGATGGCACATAAACCGTAATGTAGTTGTTCTGTAACTGGGTGTCATTTTTATTTCTGTGTGTTTCTTTCCTGCTCAGTGATCGGAGCCCTCATCGGGAAGCAGGAGGGGAGAAACATCGAGGTGATGAACTCCTTTGAGCTGCTGTCTCACACCATAGACGAGCGAGTGCATATTGACAAGGAGTATTACTACACCAAGGAGGAACAATGTGAGTGGTTTGTATGTGTGAAGGACAAGAATACAGCTCTATCCATGCTTCTTTTTTTATGACAATCTTTTATGAAATGCAGTGCAGCTAGTGATTCTCTCGGAGGGCCACGCAAAACCAGCATCTGTGAGATCAATTCTTAAAGGTCCAGTGTTTTACATTTAGGATATATTGACAGAAATAGATATTGAGTGGCCTCATTCTGAGTTAACAAAAGCACAGCGATTCTTATTTTCAGCTTGATCAATACACTAATGAAAAACATACCTATGAAT